GAGATTTGGAAACATGGGGGAACTTCTAATGACTGGCTAATTTTTTTTTCAAATTTTCAGCCAGATGTTTGATGTTACCTGGGCCCAGCTGTAACAGAAATAGCAGTTAATTGAAACTCTTTTCCATAATTTTAAGTTCCCTGACCTAAAAGCCTAAGTGGGCTTTCTTTTTCTTAGTAAGCATTTTTTAATGAATTGTAAGAGTAATGATTGACTAAGGAAGAGAAATTCAGGTATCAAATACAGAAATATCAGAAATTTGGATTAAAAGGGCCTTTTAGATAATTTCTAGGGCTTAAAACTGGAAGCCCTTGTAGCCCAAATTCAGCTACAAGATAAGTTTAGTTTGGCTGGCACTGTGGGGTTTTTTTCTTTTAAATTTTTTTAAATTTATTTTTTGTTAAAGTATCATTATATAATCTTATGTTGGTTTCAAATGTACACCACAGTGGCTCAACAGTCCCCATGATCAATTTATTCTGTGATTGCAAATTATTATGCCCTTTTATCCCCCTTGTCCCTGCACCTGCCCCAACTCCTCCCCCTTGGTAACCACTAGATACTTCTCAGTGTCTGTGATTCTAATGCTGTCTTGTTCCTTCTGTTTTGCTTTGTTTTTACATTCCATGAATAAGTGAAATTATATGGTACTTGTCTTTCTTCATCTGGCTTATTTCACTGAGCATAATACCCTCTAGATCCAGCCACGTTGTTGCAAATGGCAAGACTTCTTTTCTTTTTATGGCCAAATAATATTTCATTGTGTATATGTACCACATCTTCTCTGTCCATTCATCTACTGATTGACACTCAGGTTGCCTCCATATCTTGGCTATTTCAAAAGTGTGATGATAAACATAGGAGTACATATATCTTTTTGAATCAGGGATTTTTTTTTCTTTGGGTAAATTCCTAAGGTTGCACTGTGTTTTTAAAAGGTTAAATTAGTTGCCCATATTTTAAAATCAAGCAGTTTTACATCTGGTTTTTTACAATTTGCAGTATTGGGCCAAATTTGGTACACATTTCCCCAGAGTAAAAATCAATTCAAGCCAAGTAGTAGTAGCCCCTGTGTGGGATCTGTGCTCCCAGTTTGCCACAGTCCCTGACACTCTCTGTTGCCTCTACACTGAGACCAAGTTTCAGATACCATGTATCTTCTCAAATGCAGTTACCTCCTCCCGCCGTATAGATTGTTAAGAGGACAGTAAAATGCTTGTTTCACACTTTACATTATGTGTATAGGCTACATGGACATTTGGATTTGTTACTCCCTAATCCTACCTGAAGCTTTCATTTTAGATTTGGGTAAACTGAGGTCCAAAGGAGGATAATAACATGCATATTTCACATAACTGTTAGTGACAGAAATGTGATTAACACCCAGAGTTCCTTGCCATTAGGCCAGTGGTCTTTCCACTAACTAAATACATCACTTTGATTGTATCTAAGATTTCAAGAGGTCTTCTTAATGAGAGAATCACACACTGAACATGTTCTCATTCAAATTCACATGCTGCCATTGAAAACAGGCAGCAGGTTGGGGCACCACTATGTGAATGCCTTGCTGCTTTCCAGATAATGAGTCAGGCAATCGTTTGGGTTTCTCAGTGTGGGTGTCTCTACATAGGTTGATTGTTTTTTCATTCAAAGCGTGTCCTTTGCAGCCTCTAAGTCTGTGTTTGTCTGGTGGCTCCTGCCCCCCTGCAGACACTGCACAGGCATGCTGAGTGTTTTGGGATCTGGGGCTTCTAAATGGAAAAACCCATGTGTCTCGGCATTCTCACAAGCTAATGTTTGTACCAGTAGCAACTTATCCAGCAGACCATGAATTAATGTTCTCTAACAAATGCTGAGTTTAGGTATGTGACCTTGGGCAATTTATGTAACTTCTCCAGGCCTTGGCTTCCTCATCTATAAAATAAAGATAATGTCTACATAATTGAGTTCCTTTGAAGATGAAACCATTCATTTTTCAAGATTCCTAGGGAAGTCCTAATACATAGTAAATACTAAAGATAAATGACATCCTGGTGCCTTATAGAAATGAAAACTGGAAACTATCTTCTCTCATGTGAGCAATATAATCCTTCTTAATACATGTAGTTGTTCCCAGGCCTACTATAAATACTCAATACATGTTGGCTTTTACATCATAATTGCTTAGAGGACTTTCAGAAAGTTCACATTCCAATGATCCACTGCAGACCTATGGAAGCAGAGAATCTAGTTGTGGGGTCTGGTAATCTATTTTTTAAAGCTTCTCATGGGATCCTGATGACTAACCAAGTTTGGAAACAATTGGTATAATTTTCTTATACTTGAATATCCTTGGTGGTGGAGTGCTCATAACCTCTTAAAGATTCCCATTCCACATTGGACAGTTATGTATATTGAGGTAAGACCTGTTTTCCTATAGTTCCTACTTCTACCCCCTTGAGACCACATAGAACATTTTGAGTCTCTGTTCCATATGACAGCCCTTCAGATATTACTGACGGCTGTCATACCCTTCCTGAGCATTCACTTTTTTTGGACAAAGCCACATTATCTCATGGATTTTAAAAAAGTATGGATGAATTGACTCTTATAATTTAATACCTAGGAAAAATTGAGCTACAAGACCCCAGTTATTCTTTGACACTTAATGGACCAGAAATAGGATGCTGAGACTCTGAGAGACAGGAGATAAGAGTGAGAGATGGCGGTACACCTTCATTCCAGGAGAGGACGATGCTGACTATTGCTTGTGTCTTCTCATGCAGAATTAGAGGCTCCTGCAAATTCCCTGAACACCTGATGTATTCAGTACATGAAGAGAAATCTTGGCTTCAGATTTCAGCCAGGCCCATCTAAGTGGTGGTTACATGGGTTAGCTAAACTTTCATTGTGGTTCATTAAAGTCTATGCATCTTACTCTAGTTAATATTTCAAAAGTGTATAAAAAATAGCTGGGCCAGACTGCTTGGAGACTGCAACAAATTACCTCAAAAGAGTTTTCCTGGCTAAGTACATATTTTAGATTCATCCAGTTCCTTCTTGATTCAAATTCTCACTGCTCTCACTAAATTCACAGAATGTCTGGGTGGGGTTCCAATCTTATACAAACTGTGGGCATAATGTTGGAAGGAAGAGAAACTATCAACTGAAAAATTCTGCAGGTGTTCAGGAATATTAGGCCCTGGTGGGGGAAGACAAAGTCAGTGTCTAATTGTGCTTTCCCAGGTTTAATTCCAAGAGGCAGAAGAACTGGAAATAACTGAAACATGGTCTGTGTGCCGTGTTTGGCCTGATAGAAACCTCAGGTTCTTTACGCCATCCCTAAAACCATGTAGGCATCAAAGCATCTACCAAACTATAGCTTTATAAAGGATAATTCAGTCCCTTTTTGTCAATATAGGAAAGGGAATTATGAAATTTCCTTAAGACAAATGACTTCACCATAGCCAATCATTCATAATCACAAATATTAGATTTTTTTTTTAATGTTCAAGAAAGAATTGTATACTACTTGATACAATAAGAGCTTTGAGTAGTGCTAATTAACTACTACCTAGTCTAAATTAATCATTTTTTTTATTAATAAACTGAGGACTGGAGTGGGTAAATGTCTCAGCCAAGGTCACACAAATAGTTTGCAGCATTACCCAGGTCTTCTGACTTTAAGTACAGTGCATTTAAAACAGTCCTTGCTGCAGTTAAAATAGTCCTTTCCTACCTGGGCTTACCACCAGTTGCAAATTTGTGTTGGGAACAATCAACTATAGTAGAGCTACAGTCAGGATAGCAGTTGTTCAGAGTGTCAGGACATGGGAAGAAGGCCAGGGAATGATGCAATATTACACAAGCAATTGATGTCATAGCATAATTTCCTAAGCCATTTACATAAATGCAAGTTCTCAAGAAGCCCTGACAAATACCAGCCAGTGGGAATGCAGGCATGGAGAACCAATAGCAAGCAGGAGAGGGGAGCATATAGGAAACCCAGGCTTCCTTGTCCATCACCATGACAAGCTTCAGAAATTCCTCAGAAGGCTGAGAAAACTCCCTTCTGCCCCTCAGGCACATAGGCTCCAAAGAGCTTTGATTTTGTTCTCTATGTTTCTGTTTATTCCTGTTGACATCCAGGCATGGTTCAGTGATGCTGAGAGTGAATCCTGGTATAGTAAAAGCACATTTAATAGACCATCCAAGAGCTTGATATTCTAAAATTGGTCTGTCCTCTTCATTATAATTTAGAATAATTCTCAATTTTTAAAATTAGAAGTGATAAGATATAATTCTTAGAGAATCAATCTTATCCAAATGTCAAGGAAATACATTTGTTGGGTTTGGAGATGATTTAGAAAAGAAGACAGGTGGACACCAAATACCAAGATTTCAGTTTTGTTTTGGTCTCAAATAGTGAAACACATATTAATAAAGAAGTTTTCTTAAATGTGTATGTGTGTCTGTAGTGCTTCATATATGTTTGTCTGGAACTGGTTGGCAATGGAAGTTCATGAAAATATCTAGTTAGATCAAACTCAGAGTAAACTGATAAGACCATGTTGAGAAATAAGGAAATACCTCAGAGTATGCCAAGCTAAACCAGGATCTCTCTTTCTCTCTCTTCCACTCCCTCCACCCTCTCCCTCCCTCCTCCCCCACTAAAAGGCAATTTAAGCAGAGCCAAAGACCCCAACTCAAGCCAGAGATCAAAGCAGTTTACAATATATGCCTAGGGATCTTGGAAGACTTTTCTCAACTGCAGAAGCTGCCTAGAGCACCACAAAATCTTATTTCATGAAGCTTATACCAAAAACGATCAACAAGATCCAACCCCTTCATCCCAGAGAATATTAGTCTTGCTGGGAAGTCTGGACATCTGTGCATTCTTGGCAATAATTTGAGCTATTCCTCTTTCCCCATCATTGCCTTCATCGCCCCAAACACCCACTGGAATATCAGAATACCAGAAACTGCATTATTTGGTGCCATTGAGAGGAATTTGTAAATACCTTCCAAGCAGCAGGTCCTCCACAGCCCCGAATGGGTCATTACTTCTTCATTCTTCCTGCTGGTTTCATTATCACTTGTAGATTTAGTCCTGCACACACCTCTGGAATATAACCAGTAGTCCGTGCCCACTGCAATGGTCATTAAGCTAAAAGCTGCGAAGGCTCCCACAGTGGTGATCAACATCTGGATACCTCTGTCACACATCCTCATAATTCTTCATGGTACTCTGGATGGCTGGGGGTTGGAGGGGGAGGGTTAATGCCGGAGGAAAAACTACTATGCAGCTGGGTCACCTAGGACAGACTCTTCCAAAAATTCGGGTCTCCTTTTGTCAGCATCCACAGGGACTTCTGGAAAGCTGGGGTTTCCAGTCTGGAGCTCTCTCCAGTTCCCTGGGTCTCCTATGGCCCTCGGAAGGGTGCAGGCTCCAGGGGGTTGGTCCACATCACTGCTGCTTTCTGAGGGTCCCTGGGTTCCTTTCATTCCTCGGGAGCTTGGTTAGGATGAGGGTCCGTGCAGGGCATGGCTCCGGAGCCAGAAGCTGCCAGCTCCGTTTGAGATATGCCTGGCTCCTCACAGCTCCGGGAGACTCAAGGCAAAGAAATCCAGAGAGGTCTATGTGTGTGTGTGTGTGTGTGTGCGTGCGTGCTTGTGTGTGCGAGCGCGTGTGCTGGGGGTGAGGGCGGATGGCAAAAAATAGCACTGCTGGGAGGCGAGTCGCTGAGAAGAGTGTTCATTGCTTCCCCAGCCTCCCAGGAAAGCTCTCCGCCTGCTCCGACACCCCCGCTCAAACTGGAGAAAAGACAGAGTCCTGGGGCGGGGGCCGGACGGTTTCTTCGGAGGGCAAAGGTCCGCGGCGCTGAAGGGACAGTTCTCCGCCTGTTGCCCTGCCTCCGCCTTCCTAAAGCCCAGCTTTCAGGTCCGCGGTGCTGGAGGGACAGCTCCTCTGCGGCGGCTGCACCCCCGCCTTTCCAGCGCCTGGGCTAGAGACCTGGGGCGCAGAAGGGTCGGCTCCCGCCCCCGCCGTTCCCCCGTCCCTTTCCAGACCAGCCAGCCGGCTCAGCTATGCCCAGGAAAGCCCACGCTCCGCGCAAAGTTTCGGGAGCCCAGGGCAGTCAGCGCCCTGGCTCTTTGGCGCTGCAGCACGACCCTGTTCCTCCGCTCCCTGAAGGGTTAAGGAAAGGGGAAGGGGAAAGGAGCCCGCAGCGCACTCTGGCGCTCTCTCAGCTCCCACCCAGCGCGGCGTTTTCCCCCCCGCCAATGAGCCAGGCAAGTTTGCCTTTTGCTGCGGGCGCCGCTAAAGCCCACTGGGGAAGACCGAGTCTTCTTAAAGGGACCGGCGACTCCGGGCGACGGTTCCATGTCTCAGTTGGGCAGGCAAAAAGTGTTGTCACAGGCGCATCTGAGTATAGTCTGTCTCAATTTGGATCCTCAGAAAACAAACCAATATGTCTACCCTCCTTTCTCTGGAGCTCTGGTTTACACCGGAGACAATGTGCTCAGATCAGAACCGGAACTATTCATGTACATATGATCACGTCTTGCTAAAAGATAGAAGGTGCTAAATGCATATAGACTCGGTTTTACATGAATCAGGGATTTGGGGCGAGGTGGTGTGGAATATTGGTCTCTGAATACACCTCCTATATATTTTAACATCCCTTCATGGGGACGGGGCGCGGGAGGGGGTGATTCACTGAAAATGTCAGATTCTTTCCAAAGGTCCCTGGGATGTTCATTTCGTAATTCATTTCATCTTTGTCTAAGATCAGGAGGCAGGTGAAGTTAGGTCTGTTTTCCTTATTAGTCCAAAATGCAAATGCCGTTGCACACCTGAATGCTAGTGAGACTCTCCGTGGGAAACAGTGTTGTAAAGGAGCAACACTTAACCAGGTGTCTATTACTGGGTATTCTGAGCACACACTGAGTTGACTAGGGACAATCAATGGAATACTTTTATTATTATTTTTTCCCCTATGGCATGACAGGAGGGATACCAAGAGTCCAGGTGTTTGAAATTGAGGTTGCTTGGTTGTTTCTGCAGTCCCTGAGATGTGTCCATAACCATCTGTTACATTTGATTGTTATTTAACTAGACAAAAACGTAATGGGAGGTAGTTGCAGACACATATAGTTCCCTGGTGCCATCTCTGGCTATCTGTCTGAGAACTTCTATCCAAATGACTAACAGCAATGCATTAATGAGTTCTCAAATGCAGCTCACAACTTCTCAGTGACTGATACTTTTTTTTTTAATTTGGTTTTAAGGTCACTTGAAGACTTGGTTAGATAAGTATGTATATATCAGTGGATAGGTTTGAAAATACAGGCATGGTGTGACTGTGTGTGAATGCTGACCTGCTATGTTCAATTTAGTTATGAGTTTTGAATGCCTGTGAGTTTGTTGAAGTAAAAAACCGTACATACATATACATCTGTACCTGCACTCAGTGTTGTGGGCCATGTGAATGTGTTTGCTGCAAATGTGTAGCTGTGTGCGTCTGTGGGCATATGAGCCTATGTATAGGTATAGCATAGGTTTGTGCACTTTTATACATGCAATTGCATATGCATGTTTTGTGGTTCACAAATACTACTTTATTGGGCAGGAAGTACAAATAGGGAAAATCTGCCACAAAACTAAAATGGAACAGATAAATTTGGGGCCAGGACCACAGCTAGTCATATCCCTGAAGAATAAGAGAAAATGGGGTAAGGTGTGCAATATCTTCTATAAGTTATTTAGTGGATTTTTAACCCTAGAAAGAAAATGTGCTTCCCAATAAAATGCCCCACTTTGATTTTTTTTAAAGGAAAAAAGCCATATGTAACACGGAGGTGAAGTTGGTGTTTCCTGGGAGGGGTTAGTAAATTAGTGAAATTTTCCTTTCCCCCTCTCAGAAATGTAAGTAATTTGAGTTAATAATGATCAAAACAGCCATTCCAGGATTTGTTTATTTCTTTTATTACTCCAGTAAGGGTTAAAAAAAGGTCTTTTCTCAAAGCAGGACCATACAGATAGAAGATCAATGGGCTTTGGGCTTTGAGCTTAGGGAGAGTATACTCCAATCACTTAACTCACCAAACCCACAATAAAACAAGAGCAGCTTTATCTCCACTTCCCCAGCTCTGTAATACAAGCCCAGACAGACAGGATGTTGTGCACAGGAGGTTCAGCAGAAGGAACCACGCATCCAGGTAGGGTAGTGTGGGGCAGGGAGGCAAGAGTCAGGAGCTTAGGCAGATGAAGGTGACAATCATGAATCAGGATGTGGACAGTTTTTTGAAGGAGAGCAAGGGACACATTTCAAGGATGGGGCTTTATACTGAGCCTTCTGCTTGGTGAGACAAGGTCATCCTTGCAACACCTGCCCAGGGCCAGAGCTGATCACAGAGTATGGGAAGTCCTGAACCTGCATTGGGAGGAAGTCAGAACACCTGACTGGAGTGGGAGTGCAGAGGTAGGGAGGCCGTCAGTTCCTGACTATGCCTCCTCTTACTAGGGGGTGACCTCATCCTTTCATTCAATTGAATGTGTAGGTGTATGCGTGTGTGAAGAATCCACTTCTAATATAATTGCTCATTTTTACCACTAGAGGGCTCTTTCACCAGATCAATCGGACTCAGGAGATTCAAAGAACTCCTTCCTTACAGTGAATGGTGGAGCCAGGCTCTTTATCTGTGTTGGTTGATGATTCCTCTCTGATCCAACTTACGTGGCAGGAGACTGCGAGGCATTCAAACAGCTTGAAACTGACATTTGATTTTTTATTAATGATCCTTCTTTTTTTTCCCATATATTGGACTTTTAGCTAGTGGAGTAGCTGGCAGTGTATCTCCTTTTTTTGTGCGTGCATCCTCTCATTTTTCAGAGTTACCCTCACCTCAGCAGGGGTCGGTGCCCCCTGAAAGTTGTTGTCTCACTTAGGAAGGAGTACTAACAGCTGATTCAATAAATGTTTCTCCAGTGCCTACTATGTGCAAGGCATTCTGCTTAGCACTTTGGACAATACAAAGATATGGTTCCTACCCACCAAGAAGCCCAAAATAATAGGGGATATTTTGTTGGTACACTTTGCTGTAAATAGCAGAAACTTACTGCAGCTAGTAAAGAAGTTGGAGGATTTGGTGTGAGGATATTATGGTTTCAAGGAACTTGAGGGCAAAGACATTCCTCAGCAAGGAGCTGAAATCAGGAAATAAAAACCATTAGGAGCCCTGACAATCACTCCATTTTTAATCTCTTCCTCTTTTCATAATTTTAGTTGAGAAAAATTGTTTTGCCTTCTCTACTCTTCAAGCCTAGATTTTGAGAAACTAGATGGAAACTAGATTTTGAGATCCACTCATCTCTGTTCAAGGGATCCACTCAGACTAAACTGGGCATTTTTAGTCCTAAATCCAAATTTTCAGGAGAGACAAACTGATAGGCCTAGCTTGTGTCCTGTGCAACTTCATTTCTTGGCCCAACCAGCTGTGGTCATGGAGACAGGTTGTATAGTAGAAATATGATTATTAGGACCAGTTCCGGTCAGTTGGAGAAGGGAAAATGGTTCTCAGAGTGAGAAAAATTTCTATGACCCCTCAAAAGACTACTACAAAAAAGTTGGTATAATTCACGCTCCGAGCCACTGCAGTGATGACCATGGGTTCAGCAGGAAAACATGGTCGTGGATGAGAAGACAACATGGCAGGGTTTGGGGGACCCCAAAGATGTTGGAACCCTCCGTGGTACCAAAGCAGCCTCACCTTTTGTCTATGCCTTTCTTTCGAGAGACATAGGGTCACAGAGAAAACCTTTTCTGAACTCATCTGAGGGAAAGGTACTCCCAGGGGTATAAATCAAGGAGATGGTGAAAGCCATGCCTGACGTGTTGGCATTCCCCCTTGATGTCTTCATATAGTCTAGCAATTAGTTACATACTTCAGAATCAACTTACAGAAGAAGTACAGCAAATGAAATATGGTTATAAAACACACGATATAAGTTGGATGCTGGGAAGAGGGAAGGAATGGCAGGAATGCAACATCCTGATATTACAAAGACAACAGCAAGATGTACTATCTACAGCGGACGAGAGGAGAGTGAATGGTCGGAGTATGCTGTTGAAAGTCACATAGATAACCGGCAGAGGACCCGAAAATATTCTACAACTGTATTTGAAGTGAAGTATGTTAAACTAAGACAGAAATGGGTAACTATGGTTACACTTTGGAAGAAAACTGGAGTGGGACCAGGACAGCTGCTTTTTGTTACACGCCTTTGATCTTATTTGATTTTTTAAAAATCTTGTGCATGTATACTTGGATAAATGTTTAAAGTCAATTAAAAAATAAATGAAGTAGCATACCATTAGTCCATCTCTCCAAGACACCTCTTGCTTTATCAGCATAGAAGTGCCAGGTGCTTCCTGTGACTCATGCATCTATTCCTTGTGCCTGGAATGCTCTTCCCTTGAGATACCCTTCTTCTAAAAAAAACAGTTATTTTGAAATAATCTTGAATTTACATAAAAGTTGCTGCTGCCAGATGTTCTCATGGTTTAATCCCTCACTTCATTCATATCTCAGCTCAAATATCACCTTCTCAGAAAATCCTTCTCTAACTGCTCCAAAATAACATCCTGTACTTCTCTGTCCTCTCACTCTGCTTTGCTTTTCTCCATAGTATTTACCAATATCTGATTATCCTGTGCATATGTGATGTACATATGTATGTGTATATGTTTTTGTGTTTGCTGTCATCGCCCCAACTAGAGCAAAATAATTCCATGAGGACAGGTGCTTTGTCTTGTTCACATCTAAATTATAAGGCCCTGGAACAGAGCCCAAGATAGAGCAGGTACTCAATTAGTATTTGATTAATCAATTAATTGCATAAATAATAATTTTGTTTCATATACTGCAATAGGCACTGGTGAGTCAATGATAAGCAAGAAAGACATTGCTTTTGATCACTTGGAATTCAGTCTGATGAACAGGACATAAATAATTGAACAAATAAGAACAATTATAGAAAATGCTGCTGGCACCCCACAGATGCTGAGATCCTCCTTACTGGCTAGGTGCATCTGTACCCCAAGTGTCAATCTCCCCACTTTCTCTGCCTGCCCTTAACTGCCCCTTATTGATAGTAGCTGCCGCATCCAAGGGACTCCCAGCTCCCACACCCAGGGGCAACCGGCAGTCAAGGAGTGGCTGATACAGGGGTATGAAAGGCAGCCCTCTTGCCAGAGGCAGGGATAACTTTGTGGTGCAGTTTATGCTCCAGAGTCCTCCATGGATCAGGACAAGGCTAGACTTTACCTGGGACCACATCCTTGTGTGACTTTGTCCCCTTACCCTGTGGTTCTCAAAGTTTAGTGTGCATTAGAATCACTTAAGGCTGGTTAAACAACAGATTACTGGGTTCCACCCCCAGAGTTTCTAGGGGTGGAGTTTTCATTTCTAGCAAGTTCCCAGGTGATGCTAAAACTGCTCCACTGAGAAATGAAAAATAGAGAACCACTGCCCTTCTTTATGATGTTTCCCATACTCCTGTACAGGTTTTCTTAAAGACCACTCCTAGAAGTTATGTGCATTTGAATCCCAGCCTCAGGCTCTCCTTCCAGGGAACTCTACCTAGACAATAAGGAGGACTGGTAAGCACTCTGCTGGGGGAAGTGCAGGTCACGGACAATTAATATCACTGAGGGTCATGGAAGAAGGCTTCATGGAGAAAGTTCCTTTTAAACCAAACCCTAAGGATGAGTGAAGAGCAAGAGAAACTGTGTTACAAGGGGGCTGGACTAGCATGTTGAAGGGCCTGGTGCATGATGAGTTTGAAGGAGTGAAAGAAGGTTAGAAAAGCTGGATGTAATGTGGGGTTAGTGTGGCAGACTCTTCATGCTAGAATATTATGTACATACAGATCAGATGGTTAGCCATGAATGCTCTTCTAGAAAATATTTGAAGCCTATTAGCTCTTTGAAGGAACTGTACTGCCAAGTAATTTCCAAGCTTGATATTTAGCAACCTGTGAATTAAATCTCTAAACAGGTAAGTTCTTAAAAGATCCTTGAGCCCCAATAAGAAGTTTGTCTTCCCCAGTCCCAGGGGAGGGAGTCCAGAGAGGGAGATGGACAAAGGAGAATTTTCCAGAGGTCAAATAGAAGGGTGATGGAAAGCGATGAATATGGTAGTTCTTCTTTGCTAGCCAGGAAACTTCTTCCATTCTCAAGAAAGAGAAGTTTTGTTATTCTTGTCCAGTTGGATTTGATAATTTTTATGGGCCTGTGAATATTGTGTGTACTTTGAGTCTCTGCATTTAAAATGAGCTGTTTTTAAAAGGAGTGGTTTTCTGGTTCCCACCTGCACTATTGAATAATGGATGTGCTGGTAGCGGGTAAGTTGTCTTTTAGTTTAGACCAAGAGGAGACACACCCAGACCTGCTGAAGAGGACAGCACAAGACCCGGAAACCCCACTCTGAGTGAGTGAGTCCTTGATGGTCTTCTTTGGGAAAAGGTGGATGTGTTCTATTCATGGAAAGACATTTTCTGGTGAAAGCATGGGCTACTGCAGAGACTGCTAATTGCTAATCTAATAGCCTTTCTTCGTTTCTTTTTTTTTTCTTTCGAAATCTCAGACGGCATTCTCCCATCTCACTCTCCCGAAGGAAGAGAAGAGTGATCGTCAATGGCAAATGACAGCTGCAGAAGCATCATCAAGGGCAGCTTCATACTCGGGAGAGAAGCTGCGCCTCCTCCTCATGGTTTCAGGGGCTCTGCACCTTCAGAGAAACTTCTCCAGGAACCAACTACAGAGACATGCTGAAAGTATAGTCTTTTCCTTTCTTCTTCTTCTTCATTTTCTTTTAACTAATAAAACTCTAGTTGTGGTTAGGAATGCCCTTTGTCTAGTTGAAAGAAAATTACATTTTTTTCAGTCTTTCTTGAAGGGAAAGGTGGCCCTGTGACAAATCCTAACCAATACATGTAATGGAAAGTTGTTTTGTGGACAATAGCCAAAGGCAGGAACAACTCAGGTGTCCATCAACAGATGAATGGATAAATATGTGTCATATGCATACAATGGAATATTATTCAGACTTAAAAAGGAAGGAAATTCTCATACATGCTACAACATGGGTGAACCTTGAAGACATTATGCTGAGTGAAATAAACGAGACACAGAATGACAACATTGTGTGATTCCTCTTATATGAGGCACCTGGAATAGGCAAATGCATAGCAAAAGAAAGGTTAGAGATTATCAGGGATTAGAAGGGGAGGGAGAATGGGGATTTACTGCTTAAAGTTAAGGAGTGGTTTGGTGTGATGAAAGTTTTAGAAATAGATAGTGATGGTGGTCACATAACATTGCAATTAATGCCACTAAATTGTACACTTAAAAACAATTGTTCCTGCCTGGAACTAGAACTCAGCACTGGAGGTTGATCAGCCTTCTTGTTACCATAAGGTGATAAGCACATGTCTAAGTAAAATAAAATTGAAGAAGTATGGGTCTCTAATAGCATTACTGAACCACCATCCCAGGCCAGAACTGCTTATCTCTAAAATTCTTCTTACAGGACAAAAATTAACTTATTTCACCCTTTCTCAAGTTTCAGATGAACATAAATCCCAATTTATACAAAGAGAAGTGAAATTAGAGAGGTTGTTTTTGGTCATGAAGCCTCTAGTCACAGTTGACAGAAACCCAACTCAAAGCATTCAAAACAAAAGCAATCTCATTCAGTGCCTCTGACTTGAAAGGGTAAAGGTCGACATGCTCTTGAGTGCCTGGATCTGGGATGTGCTTCTCCATCTCATCCCTGTCTCCCTCTGCACTGGCTCTGCTCTCAACCGGCCTTACTCCTTAAGTACCAAGAACTAGCTTGCATCCTACCAGCTGAGTAAACCTAGAAGAGGACATTTCTCCATCAACAGTTACAGGAAATGTCTTGAGGCTGCTTTCTCTTTGACCCATTTTGTTCATACCGACCTGAATCAGCCATGGTGGCCAGGAAATGGGATTCATTGGCTGTAGTTCTGACTATTTTTCTGTCCCTGGACACAGAGGGGAAAGGTCAGCCTCACCTTAATCCATGTGTATGAGAGTGATTCTTTGGAGGAAAATGAGGGCGCTGTTGTCTGAAGAAGGAAGACTGGATAATGAGAAGGAAAAACTAACAGATGTTCACTATGCACTACAGATATGTAGATGCCAGATCACGCAGGTTTTTCAGCCTTCTTAGATCATTCAGTCAATATCTGTTGAGACCCACTTGTTTGCCGTGCCCTGATGTAGGTCCTGAGGACACAGCAGTGAGCAACACAGACTCCCAGCCCATGAGGCACTTACATTCGAGGTGAGGGAGACAGCCAGTGAACAGCCAAACAAACAAAAAATACAGGGAGTGACAACTGCTGTGAGGAGAATAAAATCCAGTAATGTGATAGGATCTGACTGCTGCTGGCAGTCAAAGGACAGTCTCTGATGGTGTGGCGAGGGACGGCATTCTGAGGAGGTGGCTTTGAAGAGAGAGGAGTCGGCCCGAAGAGGATCTAGAGAGAGGGTCCCCAGCAGAAGTTCCACCAGTGCAGAAGCCCAGAAGTGAGAATGCACATGGCTTGTTGAAAGACAGAAAGCACAGTGGGGTGGGACTTTCATGAACAAGAGGAAAAATCATAGCAAATGAGGTCAGTAAGGTGGGCTGGGGTCAGATTATATAGATCAGGGGCCAAGGTTAACAGTTTGGATATTCTTTTTTTTTTTTCCTGAATAAAATTTAATCTTTCTTCAAAGATTTATAAGGTGCTGGCATTTATCTTTTTTTATTAAGGTATCACTGATACCTTATACACTCTTATGAAGGTTTCCCAAGAAAAATAATGTGATTACTACACTCCCATACCCCATTGCAGTCACTGTCCATCAGTGTAGTAAGATGCCACAGAGTCCCTACTTGTCTTCTCTGTGCTACACTGTCCCGTCTTCCCCATGACCCCACACACACCATGTGTACTAATCATGATACTTTTGAATCACCTTCTCCCTCCCTCCCCACCCACCCTCCCCCACCCCTCCACTTTGGTAACCACTAGTCCCTTCTTGGAGTCTGTGAGTCTGCTGCGATTTTGTTCCTTCAGTTTTGTTTCTTTGTTATACTTCACAAATGAGGTAAATCATTTGGTATTTGTCTTTCTCTGCCTGACCTATTTCACTGAGCATAATACCCTCCAGCTCCATCCATGCTGTTGCAAATGGTAGGATTTGTTTCTTTCTTATGGCTGAATAGTATTCCATTGTGTATATGTACCATATCTTCTTTATTCATTCATCTGACAGTCTGGATATTCTTCAACAATGTAAAGCCATTGCATGGTTTTAAGCAGGGGAGTAACATGATCTGATCTATATTTTGGAAATTTCACTCTAGCCACTGAATAGACAGCACCTTTGGGGGCACAAGTGAAGCCTGGACGTGAATTAGGAGGCTGATGCATTCACTCAGGCTAGAGATACTAGCATCTTGGACAAGAGTTGTTAAGGACTACGACTTTTTTCTGAGGGTGGTGGGGCATGTGGAGAGCTTTTAGCAGGGAGTGATGTGATCAGATTTGAGTTTTTCTTTCTCTTTTGCTTTTTCCTCCCTCCCTCTTTCTTGGTACATCAGATCCCTGGCTCTGCTCTGTGGAATAGAAATTCAGCAGAGCCCCAGAAGATGACAAGAATACAGCAGACCCCTTTGGCTCCAAGTTTCCCCAGGGCAATTGCCCCTTTCTCCACCTGCTGGGTCAAGGTATGTGGGAGGGGTGGGGGCAGTGGCCTTTCTCCAAAACCTGACTAAGGAAATGAGATTCAGAGTAGAGACTCCCAAACATTGTCCTAGACACATTTTGCCAGGAGAACTCAGAGAAAGAGCCTTTGTCTTCTATAACCCAGAACAGATTGTGGAGGCAGACACTTTAATCTACAGAAGCAAAAACACTGTGCACAGCAGAAAGTATTAGTGAGTATGGGATTTAGAGTCAGTGAAATCTGGATTCAAGTCCTGATTACATCACTTGCTGTGTGACCTTGAGAAAATTACTTAACCCTCTGTGCCATTCCTTCTTCACAGAGAAAATAATAGGACCTATCTCTTTGGTCAATAGCACTCCCTACCGTATAACAAAGATTACATATTATAATACACCTAAGAGCTCAACACAGTGCTTGGCACATGTGAGGTGCTCAATAAATGTCAGCTGCAGCTATAAATGAAAACAGTGATGCAGAGGAGTCAGCTCTCTTAATGAGATTAGTTTTAATCTGTCACCTTCAGAACAACAAACAGCTGACTATTATGTGGTTAAACCCTTTCCATGAGACTTCTGCACCAGGAAGCAAAATGGCCCAAAAGGCAGTTAGAGATTCAAAACGTGTTTTTATTGAGAGATAAGATAAACACCTCAATAGACAACTAAGAAGCCTAAAACCCCTTTGGAAACTTTCCTAAAATCAGTGGAACAGGATGTGGTGTAGGGCTTTTCCTGTTGTCTTGGAGTATTGGCCAAAGTCCAAGACTGAAAACAACAAGCATGAAACATTCCCACAACCAGAGCCAGATTCCTGCCAGGTGACTCCCCAGGCTCATGGAGAGATGGCCACACAGGTCCTACAGTCCTCCTTCCGGTGACTCCCTTCCAGACCATATGGACTGAAGACCAGGGGTCAGTGAGGGGAGGGACATATGAGTCAAGGGGATGAGGGAGGGAGGTGCTTTGGCTCTTTTTGCCCCATCCCCTTGGTGGAGGAGGGGGTGATTTCCCCATGGAGCCAAGTCCAATAAGTTCATAGGAGGGGTTAGGAGCCTGACACCTCACTCCCAGGCAGGTGCTTGCTGAGCTGTAGAGGTGCTAGGCTGGCACCTGGAGTAAAGGTGAGCAGCTGCAGAGCCCAGGGGGGAGCACTTAGGAGTCTCCGACAGTGTTGAATGGTGTTTGGAGCACCTGTGAACACAGGAGCATAGCGAATGGTGCCTGGTTCCAGCCTGGAACTGCAAGGGCCAGAGGCTGGCTGGAGCAGCTCACCACTACCGGGTGAGGAGAGAGGGCATCAGGAGCGTCACCTGCGCTCCCAGGATTGCAGACTCAGGGCACTGAGTACTCCATGGTTACTGAGGAGAGCAACTGAGCTCGGACTCTCTCCATGGGACCATCCACAGGAGAGAGCAGCATTTGGGTGCCAGCAATGCAGAGAACATCAGCAGCTATAAGAGAACCATCAAAGTAAGAAGACCTTTCCCTCTTACCTTCTCCCCAACCATCCCTTCCCTCTCAGTAGCCTCAGAGGAGGCAGCAACAGGAGGAGGAGGGAAGCAGAGAGAGATACCCAGCCTCTTCCCTCTCCCACTGTGGAGGTTGGGCTTTTGAATGACCACAATTAAGTCCTGATTACAAAAATAAAGTTCATAACATTGAAATTGAGCAGAAGACCCTGAGTTCTTCCCACTGTTTATTTTTACCGTCTTAGAACATAAAGTTCCATTGAGGCAGGGAATTTTTCTGTTTTATTCACTATGCTCTCCCCATACTTAACACAGTACACAACATACAGTAGGTACTTGACAAAATACTTGTTGAATAAATGAATGAATGCATGTCTTTTTTCAGAGTAGTCTGGCCTTCCTTTACCGTAACCTGCCAGCATTTAGTTGGAAAGCAACATCTGCCTCTCTCAACGAGATGTACCTGCCTCAGTTTACTGCAGTCCGCAGCCCTCTCTGTCACTAAGTCATCTGCCTGCCTCCAGGGAGATCCCTGGTTTAGAACAAAACAGAGATGTGGATGTACAGATTC